CTAGTAAAAATAACGAAATTCCCAACTCCAACAAACGAAATGACATTGTTGATGCTCTATAAAACCATAAATTTAAATTTCTGCCATTATGTCCTCGAATTCTAACACCGCCAAAACAGCTGAGCATTTTCCATTTCACGCACCCGTGCACAACAAGAGGAGGAAAGATTCTTGCTCATCATCGTCTTCATCGTCGTCCTCGCTATTCCGCCTTGTTGTCTGTATGAATGACGATGATGATGATGATGCTTGTATCGTTTGATAGTTGTTACCATAAAAAACTAGGGCAAGACGTTTCATCCAATAAATAACAAGTAGTGGGAAAAAAAGAGCATCCAGATGTATACAATCGTCACGAAACAGCCACCAACTAGATTTCTATCGCCCATGGATCAGAGTGGAAGCCAAGTTTTGCTTCTTCAATATTAAACAGCTCTGAACGAACTTGCCAAGGAAGAAGATGCATTTCACCCCGACTGAATGATGTCATTGGATCTCGGCAAACAGATCCGGTGCAGCTTTCTGCCCGGGGAAGGCTTCAGGTCAGTAATTTGAGACATAATCGATTCCCATTGACGGACGCAGCAAACTTCGAATCCATTAGCAGTGTGAAACTGAACGGAAGATGTAGGTCAAGTCCCACAACTCGAGTAAGAATCGAATCCAACTCTTCCAGCCCGGCTCGTAAGAATCGTCAATCGTCGTTCGAAGCGAATGAATGAAGTTAAACCCGCTACGGGGGACGACGACTGGATGATCTGATCCGGAATCGGTTTGGAATGCTCTTTTCTTCATTCCACAGTGCTTCAATTCGTTCGATTGCCTCGTCAGCAATAACGTGCCTCCTTTTCAATACCCTTTAGGGCAGGGAAATGCACTTCCCATTCAAGTCCGCCTGTCTGTATACATACAGATATTTGTACAATGAATCTCTTTCTCCGATCTCGCACCCGATAAAACGTCTTCGATGGGGGGGGGGAGAGAGGAAGCAAACAAGAACGAGCAGGAAAAGGGGAAATTGCATTTGATTCAGATCGTCTTCGATAGATTGGAAAGAAAACGAATCGGAGCATCTCCGAACTGCGGGGAAATACATATTTCTGTAGTAATGAAGAGTAGTCAGTGTGAAGGAACCACTCCCGGGTGCAGACGGATAGAGAGTTTGTAACTTAGGAGACAGCGTGGAATATCTACTGGCGAAGTGCTATATACTTGATGCTGGAGAAGCAGGGGAAGAGCAACCAAAACGAACATCATGAAAATATAATCAATAACCATCAGCTCATTTAATTTAATTGAAATTGTTATTTCGCCGGCCCTGCCTAGCAAAGCAAGAAACGATTAGTTCTACAACTCAATAGAAGTTCAATTTGACATCGAGGATTCAGGAAGGATTGTTCTAGGGAACGTCACGCGTGATATTGAGAGCGTATGAGAGCGGAAAAATTTAATTTGATTTAGGATATTGCCAACACTCATTCAGATATTCATAAAATATCCCTCAAGACCCCGCAATGTCCCTGAAGTTTTTGGAACATTGCTGAAATTCACTTCGGAATATCCCATAACTTCTCGGAACACCTTGAAAGTTCTTGCAATTTTCCTGAAGTTAATGGGGCTTTTTTGAAGCTCTCTGATCATTAGACTGATGCAAAATTTGAAATTTTCGCTCCACAGTGTTCAAACAGTTTCAAATCGGGTCCTGTTTAGCCTCCGAAAGTTTAAACTCATTTGATAAGAATCTGACTTGGCACAAACCATTTAAAGTTTATATGGAAATTACTATGGGAAAACAAAACCTTTTGTTCATTGTCTTTTAGCCTATTTACATATTGTACTGTTAACAAATTCTATTGCTATTCTTATGGGAATTTTTATCAGCTACAACTTTGCAGAAAATCGTTTTTCAGCCAAACGTCAAATTAAATAGCCTAATCTTGCCATAAGATTATCAATCTCTTAAACAATTAGAGATTGATAATCTTATGGCAATATTAGGCAACTGTATTTTAGGAAACACTGTATTCACATAGCAGTGTGACATAGGTGCCATGATTTTTGTCCTCTATTCTACGCGCCATAAACACCAATGTTGCCTGCTGAACAGTTGATTGAGCATAATCATAAGACATCAATGACTTGAATCATTAATAATTTTTGTACCTTACATTTGATCGAAAAATGGTCTTCAACAAAGTTGTAGCTGGGAAAATTTTCAACAATTATCTATTATCAGCTATTATTTCTTTAAAGTAGAGTGAACTGGTGAATTTTGAGATAGATATGTACCGAAATTATAGTTTCTTCATAGTAATTCCCATATAAACTTCAAATGGTTTGTGCCAAGTCAGTTTCTCACTAAATGAGTTTAAATTTTGAAAGACTAGTCAGGTGGGCCCTACGTTTGAGCACTGTGAAATTTTGCATCAGTCTACTGATCATCCTCGAAGTGCTAGGAACTTCCCTGATTATAATAAAACTACCGGAAAATATCTAATCTTCTTTGAAGGTCACTGGGCTTTCTAGAAAATTTGTGGTGTTCTCACAATTTGCTTGAAATTAATGGATCATCAGCAGTTCTCAGATCTTCCCAATTTTTGTTTTTTACTTTTTTTTTAATTTTTGTTTAAATTGCCAACGTTATAGTTTATTTCGAAGTGCTATGATAAATATTCGATTAATTAAGTATGAAATTGTGCTTGTGCCACGGTAGATGATCCTACGCGTGCCCCGTAGTGATCATTTAGTGGATAAGTAGGAGAACGGTTGCTGCTGCAGCTGGTTCTTGTTCAATTTTGTGTTTTTTTTTTCCTTCGCCCGGCATGCTTTTGGCACCCTTTAGTAAGCTGCGACATTGAAATTTTCTGCTTTCGTTCGTTTTTACTTGTGTATCTGTAGTGTTGCACAGTAAAGTTTATGTGTATAGGTGGATAGATAGATATGGCACAGTGTGCAATATGTAATTTGGGGATTTCGGTAAGTGATTTGCTGGTCATCTGTGTGGGTAAGTGTGCTCGTGTATTTCATTGCAAATGCACTACACTTACGCGGACTCAGGCAAAGCTTATCAAGGACAAAGCAAATGTTCTGTTCAAGTGTGATAATTGTCAATCAGATCAGAGTTGCGACGAGCAGAATGATCTGATCTCGCGCGTCAAAAGGATAGAGGAAGAGATGAAGAATGTATTTCAACTCTCGAACTCGACAACTGGCATGCGAGATCACATTGCTGCTCAGATAGACATCAAAGAGCGGGATAATAAACATTAGCCGAAATGTAAATGGTATTGAAAAATTAATATGTGAGAAATTGGATAATATGAAAAACTATTTTTTTTCAAATTACTGCGGAGAAACAATTAACTGCAACGAATGACCAGCGCTGTGTATCTAGGACGGTTCAGTCGGAATTGGACGAAACGACCAAACGTAAATAAGTAATTAGTAATAGTGATAATGATGATGATGTTTTTCAAGAAAATGCGAGTTTTACGGATGTTGTGAAAAGACATAGTCGTGCAAGTAAAAGTAAAAATATCAGTAACAGTAACAGTAACAAACAGACTAATCGTAAGACTCGTCCGGTCATTGTGATTGAGCCAAAAGAGTCCAAACAAGCTTGCAAAGATACTCGTAAGTTTTTGAAAACACAGTTAGATCCAAAAACACACAAAATCAGTAATTTTAGGAATGTAAAAGATGGCTCTATTATTGTTGAATGTGCAACAGGAGCTAATCTAAAAGATGTAAAAACTGGTATTGAAAGCAATCTGGGTGAAAAATATAGTGCTGTTGTTCCCACTTCAGTGCCAAGATTGAACATAGTGGGCATGAGTGATCAGTATTCCTCCGATGTCTTCATTGACTACTTAAAAAGTCAAAATAAAGACATCGCTATTAATGATGTAAAAGTAGTAAACATGTTTGAAAATCCACGCTTCACTTACAACAAGTTTAGTGTTGTAATTGAAGTCGATGGCGATACGTATAAATGTAGTAAATGTAGGGTTTGATTGGTGCTCGATAGTTCCCGCGATTAATGTATTGAGATGCTTCAAATGTGGAGAATTTGAGCTCCAGAGCATGGATTGCAAAAATTGTGAGAGATGCTTTAGGTGCAGCTAACACAAAACGTCGGAGTGTACGACAACTGTATTGAAATGCATTAATTGTTTGAAAATGAATAAAGAACGAAAAATGAACTTGGACGTCAACCATGCCGCATTTAGCTCGGAATGTTTGCTCTATATATGCTATTGCTGTACTTTCTGAACAGAAGAAAAGCAGCTTGCGTTTCAATAAATAGTAGCCAAAAGTTCGAAGAACGTGAATCAATTCGATTTTTTGTATTTGCATATTGCGGGGTTGTCAACAAACTACGTAGCATTACGTCAGATTGTTGAGGAAAAACGTCATCTTTTAGTTTTATTATCTGAAACTCATATTGTAGAAACTGAAGCTTTTGATCAGTATAGTATTCCGGCATATATTGTTGCTGCTTGTTTATCACATTCTAGACACACTGGCGGTGCTGCTATTTATGTCAAAGAATAGTTTTTCGGAAATTCCCTGAGCTGCTCGGAATTCTTTTAAAATTTCTGCAATTTCCTGGAACTTAAATAATCTATACTAAACTTCTTTAAATTTTCCTGAAACAAATGGAGCTGTCCTAAAAACCATTATATTTCCCAGAAGATCTTTGGAACTTGTTAAGTTTCCAAAATATTTCTGATGTTTCCTAAGTTCACTGGAGTTCTTCGAACTCTCCTGAAATTTCCGGGTTCCTGAATTTTAACAGATGTTAATCAAACTGTCTTTAATTTATCGGAGATCAACCTTACAGATCTTTTAACTTACTCAAAATTCTGAACTTTTCTGAAATTTCATAACTTCATTTACGTTCCTGCAGTTTTAAATAAAGGTCTGGAATCGTCCCTGATGTTCTAGAGAAGTTGAAAAAACTGGCCAGAAAAAGCGAGGCAGTCGAGGAACCGGAGCCGATGCGCTGGAATCGAGGCGCCAGAGTTGAGGAGCCGGAATCGAGAAGCCGGAGTCGAGGAGCCGGAGTCGAGGAGCCGGAGTCGAGGAGCCGGAGTCGAGGAGCCGGAGTCGAGGAGCCGGAGTCGAGGTGCCGGAGTCGAGGTGCCGGAGTCGAGGAGCCGGAGTCGAGGAGCCGGAGTCGAGGAGCCGGAGTCGAGGAGCCGGAGTCGAGGAGCCGGAGTCGAGGAGCCGGAGTCGAGGAGCCGGAGTCGAGGAGCCGGAGTCGAAGAGCCGGAGTCAAAGAGCCAGAGTCGAGGAGCCGGAGTCGAGGAGCCGGAGTCGAGGAGCCGGAGTCGAGGAGCCGGAGTCGAGGAGCCGGAGTCGAGGAGCCGGAGTCGAGGAGCCGGAGTCGAGGAGCCGGAGTCGAGGAGCCGGAGTCGAGGAGCCGGAGTCGAGGAGCCGGAGTCGAGGAGCCGGAGTCGAGGAGCCGGAGTCGAGGAGCTGGAATCGATTAAAAATTGAATGAAAGCTGATTCAGCCAAAAAAAGAGCTTCTTCACCTAAATCATAGGTAATCTCAAGTTTTTCATTTGTCAGATGAGACGGTTTCAGTTCACTTTTCAAAGTAGATTCAAAACTGAGTCTGAACTTTTTTGAAGTGAGTTCAAACATCAACATTTTTCTAACTGAGCCTAATCTTTTTTGTTATGTTCTTCGAACCTTTTTAAAGTTGTCAAAGCATTCCTGAAGTGATGCAACATATTCCGAACCCAAACTTTAAAGAATTGGTTTTGCATTTTTTGGAGTGAGGCCACATTGGCAGATTTAATGCCTTTCCTAAATAAATCCAAGGTTTCCTGCATTGATTCAACTTTTTTCGAACTGAATCCAAATTTATCAGAACGGGTTTGACATTTTTCTAAGTGAGTCCCAGATATTTGTTGACTGCTTTGGCATTTGGGAAGGACACAATCTTGTTTCGGTCATCTAGCTTTCCTAAAAGTGTAGCAAGTTTTTCGAAGTGAACCGACACTTTTTTAAGCTTAAATTTTACAAACAGATTCCAACCATTTCTGAAGTGGTTCAATGCCTTCCGTAGGGAGTCCAAACTTTTCTGTTGAGTGATTGAATTATAATGAGAGAGAGAAGGATTAGTATTTTCCATTTAATTCCACTACTTTATTTGCTTATTCTTGACAGATACGCGTATTTCGTCTACAATGTGCAGACTTCTTCAGTGTCTTGTACTAATCTAGTAGTCTAGTCTTGTACTAAAGTCGAGTATTAGTACAAGACACTGAAGAAGTCTGCACATTGTAGACGAAATACGCGTATCTGTGAAGGATAAGCAAATAAAGTAGTGGAATTAAATGGAAAATACTAATCCTTCTCTCTCTCATTATACAGCTATTCCACTAAGACGCCCACATTCATCAGGATTTGATTGAATTATATTTAATGCTAGCCTGAGCATTCCTGAAGTGATTTAACTTACTTTCTACTTAGACCCCTTCCTCGTTCTTGTGAAATTCACAGCCTTTGAAAATTAGGCTGAGATTTTAAAGAATGGACCTTCGTGTGTTGACCTGATGTTAAATTTCTTAAGCAAGCAAAATTGTTGAGAAACCTGGGTTTACATCCACAAAACTACGTATTTTTATAGAATAAATCTTTGTGAGTTCATACGTGATGGTAGATTTTTTTGAAGCCAGGTTGAATTTCAGTTCTATCGTTTAAAACTTGTGCTTGGATTTTATAGAATGACGTGAAAGACACAAAAGATTTTTCGGTTTTGCCAAGCTGAATTTCAGCTCCGATCTTTGAAAAATAGACTTGAATTTCATAGAATGGACCTTACTGAATCCAAACGTCAGGGTTGAACTATTGTGAAAACCAAAAAATACGAATTTTGATGAAATTTCGAGTTTCCTGTTCAGCCAAGTTGGATTTATGCTCCGCCGTTTGAAAAATAGGCGTGGATTTTTTAGATTGGACCTTGCTGAATCCATACGAGATGGTACATTTTTAGAAGAATGCACATTTTTTTATTAGAAAATTTGGTTTACATTCTTCAAAATACGTATTTTTATAGAAATTTGGGATTCCTGTTCAGCCAAGTTAAATTTCAGCTCCTTCCTTTAAAAAATAGGCTTGGATTTTATAGAATTGCTGAATCCATACGTATTTTCTTAAGCGATTAAAAAAATAATTATTTTCTAAATTCTTAATTTCATAAGGAGCTGCACCATCGGGTTAACCTCACTTTTTTTTTGACATCAGGCGGTGGTTTGTTTACGTGGACTTTTTTTTAAATGTTTTTTTAGATTTTTTAGAGAGGACGATTTTCAAAAAAAACATAGCTGGATAACATATTTGTTGGTCCTTTTTATTCAAAAACTCAAATCCACTTGAATCGACTAATAGGCAAAAGTAAACAAACCACCACTGGATGTCAAACTGATGAATGTGAGTTCATCGCGTTCATTCGTGACACCTGCGTGCAGCATCTTATACTTTTGATTGAATCGAATTTGGTAAGTGCTGACACTTTAAGATAAGAAGATAATAAAAGAAGGAAGGCGGTGCTGAATATTGACGAAAATTCGTTAATTCGAAGCGGAGGGAGGAAGCCATTCAAACTATTCGGGTCAGACCCTTCCTTTTTATTTGTTAACATTATATTTCAATCAGTATTTGTATAAACTTTGCCAAATAAGGTCCTAAATTTTAAATTGAAGTACTCGGCTAGCTTGGTGGCTACCGCTTTTGCTTACTGAGTAGAATGTCTTGGGTTTACTCCCAAGCTTCTCAAAAAAAACAAAACAATTACTATGGTCGCATTGCCTGTTTAAGCGAATCCTGACCCATCTCCTACCCAACTATCCAACTCCGTAGCATCTATGGGAGCGTCGCTGTGTCGCTGGCCTCCCGTTACGTAGCTGTTACCTCCATAATATCGTTCCTTTCTCCGTAACGAAGAAGATGACGGTGGCCAGCAATGCACACTGGGCCAGGAATGCAGCCTAGCGGAGGAAAATTAATAACTCCGAAACGAAGCACTTTCGCGACTTGGTGTCTGGGGCAAAGTTTCTCATCATAATAAGGACCATCTTTTGACATAAAAAAATATTTCAAAACTCTTCCACAAAGATGGCGCCACAATCTAACTTCTTTCTCTGACGTTTTGGAGACTTCATGTCTTGAGCAAAGAATTTCATCTTGATAAAATAAACAACTCTTTTAAAGACGTAAAGTTTCCACAGCCTACTGGTTCCGAGTTACATGGAGTTAAAAAAAATGTCGAAAATATGATTTTTTTTTTCTTTCAGTTCCGTTTTTTTACTTACCATATAATGTTATATTTTTCTCTTATGCAAATGCATTAAATAAATAACTTTTGTCAAGAAACATACTGGTTTAAAAAAAAACAGTAGGCTGTGAAGTTTTGACGTCTTAAGAAGAGTTGTTTATGTTATCAATATAAACAACTTTGTCAAAGTCGTCAAGTCTTCAAAACGCCATTTCAATGCATTAAAAAAAGTTATAGAAAAAAAAAACATTTTCCACTAAGAAATATCAAAAACACCAAAATATACCTCTCTCAAATTTTGTAATTTTGTCTATCGAGTATTGCCTAATTTTTGCTGAAAATGTCAGGTTGCGATTTTTTGCGCTTTGGGAGATAATAAAGTTAAAAATTGCTTTGTTTTTCAACAATATCTTTAAAATTATGTATGTTTCATGACAAAAGTTATTTATTTATTTAAGAGAAAAATACAACATTATATGGTTGTAAGCAAAAAAACGGAACAGAAAGAAAAAAAATCATATTTTCGACATTTTTTTCTTTAGCTCTATATAACTCGGAACCAGTAGGCTGTGAAAATATTACGTCTTGAAAAGAGTTGTTTATTTTGTCAAGATAAACAACTTTGCTGAAAACATCAAGTCTCCAAAACGTCAGAGAAAGAAGTTAGATTGTGGCGCCATCTTTGCGGAAGAGTTTTGAACTACTGGTTTATGTCAATAAATGGTATTATGATGAGAAACTTTTCCGAAGACACCAAGTCGCGGAAATGCTTCGTTAATTTCGGAGTTATTAATTTTGCTCCGCTAGATTGCATTCCTGGCCCAGTGTGCAATGGTGTTCTGAATTTTTATTGGAGAGCTATTCCCTGCCGGTTGAATCTGCCTATCATGGACTTGAACCCTTTTTATGCAAGCACCTCTAATGTAATAAAAGCGGCAACACCATACACTTACCTAGCAAATAACTATCCAAACCCAGCACTTTGAAGCAATATTCGATAATTGCACATCTGGCGCTGACAAGCGTGCGACAAATTGTTTGCGTCTGATTACCATTTGTAGCAGAGTGACAATTTCCTGAACGAATAGTGCATGTAGTGTGCCGATCAACCAACCACCAATTGGATAATTGGACGCAAACATGCGGCTATCGAAAATGGGCGTCTCATGTTTATAGTGTTGCTATAATTGAAGCACTTGACTCTCGGAGCTCAAAATAGTCCGTCATTATCTGCGATTATCGTTTGGTTCGATCCCCACCCAGCCGCGATCTCAGCTGTAAACAAAAGGCGAATTAATCTCCGCCTTATAGCTTGGATTACTTCGCCGACAGGTGTGTCCGATCCCCGACTAGAACCCTGAAATCAACATGCTCTTGACGGGCTACACGATGTTTTCGACAAGGCCCCTGGGAGATCTATGATCTTGGCTATCGTTCGATGTCAGCTCGCACGAGGATCAATCATTTTAATTCATTGGACATTGAACGGCCACACTCTCACACATCCAGTTCGGTTCGAGTCCGAGCTGATCATTCTAATTTTAAAATTATGAAAATTAGGTAAATGACCCCCAATTCCTTCGGTGGTGAATTCAAATATGTAATTCTTTTCTCCCCCCACTATGCCAGTAAGGTAAGCTACGAAGCAGGGAGTGCAAAAAACTAAACTTCTACGATCACGAGCCGATGGTGTGGAGCTGTTGTTAAATATTTATATCTGAATTAGCATAAATTAGTACTCGTCGCTAATAGTTGAATTTAGTGGTTAAATTAACGTTGGTTTGCCCCAGAAGTTCGGTGAGATTCGGCGTTGTCTGCTTCGCCGTAGGCTTCAATTTTAAAACGAATTGGATTACCCGAAACTCATGAATGAAGAAATAGAGCAAATTATTCCGACCACGATCGTCCGAGGCAAACTTTCCAGCATACACATTAATTCCGGTTGGGTTTGTCGTTCCCAAAACAAAGCCACTCTCGACAGCGTGCTGTTTTGTTTGCGGAAGTGTCGGGAGTATAATTTACCACAATCCAATGTGACTACCAGCGCCTCCTCCCTTCCCTTCGGAGAAAACCTCCTTTCTATTTTTTTTTTTTTTTTTTAGAAATGTACATTTGCCTGCATTCAAAATTGAAACGACCTGGCACTACTACCCCACAAAGAGCTCGAAAAGTATAGTCATCAGGATTCGTTCCAAACATGCTCTCA